CAGGGAAATAAGATGGAGTACCTCAAAGTTTGGTGCAAAAACGCATGATCGCACCGGCTCGCCTGGAGCGTTCCAGCCTGGGTCTTGTTAGTTTGCTTATGTCTTTCTGTGTTCGTGTATATTTATATGTATGTTCAGATATGTGTCTAAGTTATTCAGCTCAGCAACCAAGGACGCTGAGGGTAACGGCAAAGTGGAGAGAACATTGCGCATTTTTGGAACGCAAACACTCGTGCTTCAAAACGCTTTTCAGGACTGGTTAAACTACGACATTGGCCCAAATGGCCAGTATTATCAGACATCAATCCCAATGGTTTGGTTTTATCAAGAGGTTGTTAAATTTTTCATACCAGTAGCCTAACTATTTCAGTTTTGCTCTTTCCTCAGTGCCATTTTTCTCCAGCTAAAAATGCAAGCTAGATATGCGAAAGGAAACTTAGAAACCCTGGCTAAAAATCAAGGAAACTTGTTCCTTGATTTTTTGACTCTAAGTAAATGTAATTTCTGGTTGCTTTTCTGTTATTAATTTTAATAGAAAAGTAAATTAATTAAAAATGAGCTTTCATAAAATTGATAAAAAAGCTATTTTTGAGGAATTATCTTCTATTCTGCTGATAATACTGATGTCGACTTAAAACGGTATTCTTCTTCAGTTAATTATTCTCACTCTCTACCATAATATATAAAATTATTGCATATTTCGTATAAAACAAACTTTTTTCCATTTCTATTTAAATTTTTTCCACCTATTAATGCTGCTGTCTATCGTTACTCCAGAAAATTACTCGTTAAAGTGACTCATATACACGCCTGGATAATATCATCAAAAACTGCTCAAAAATCAATGAACCAAGTCGACATCGTACAGTACATTTTATTATTCCTTGACAGACTCACCATGCATTGACGTACATTCTTTGAAATGGAACTCTTTATGCCAGGAATTGAGGAATCCCATGTAAACTGTTTGTTTTACGCGAAACCATGGGCAGAAATGGTGGCATTTACCGATTTGGACGATATACTTATCCCAGTGCAACCGATGCGAGTTTATTCATCCGTCAACATCGATCTATTAGAAGTGTTTTTCTTTTCTTGTTTTTTAAGACCAAAAAAACATTAATAAACATATGCAAAAGATTCCGTCGGTTTTACTGCGCTGTTTTGATAAACTGTTCCATCGCCGCCTTTCCTCTCACCATAAATGCAGCAGGCAGTCCATTCTGCTTGTTCCAAACTTATCGTACCCACCTTTTACCCCCGCTTGTGGATTTGGTCACGAACTGTGAAAAAAGGGCCTACGAAAGAACCGGGATTCCCGCCTCTGTTACCACATTCACCCGCAAGCAAAGTCTCCTTCCCAGTCAGTACCCAAATATCTTCCCTGCGTCAAAGCTTCCTGAGTCGTAAACTACAATCCTTGCTTTCGTTCGCGCTTACTTCTTCCCCTATCCCACCATCCATCGTAACTGGCTTTTTCTGTGTCCCAGTCGATCCGAGTCGAGTTTTAATAATTGTCCAAACACGTACTTATGTGAATTATTCCGTTTCCCTGACCTTTTTTTTTATTATTTGTTGAGCATTTACAGGTTTTATCATCCAGGGTCAGTAATTAATTGCTTAACTAATTGATTGATCAATGGGATTTCGCCTTCACTTAGGAGCTGGAGTTTTTTTATTGTTCCAAAAACAAGAATTTTGTTGCAAAATACCATAGATATATAGCTGTGCTCCAAGTCAGTTAAGCCAAGCAGTGCCCAATAAAACAACTAAATGTTGTTACCATAAGGCATACGTGCACACCAGTTCTCGAAATTTAGGTTAGATGACCTTTGCCCTTCATGAAAATATTATTCACCGTTCTGATATCTGCTGATTTCAGTAAAGTAAAAAACTTACCAAGCACGTTTCTCCTATCTTTGCTAACCAAATTTTGTTATGGATCCTTTTTTTAAGCAAAAAGTGGCTGATAATTCAGGATCTTGCACGCGAACACCCACAAGCAGGCTCATTTCTGTTCGAGCATCGAGATGTCCGTCTCATATTGCCTGAAGATCAGCAAGCGACACCTATCAACAATTTCAATTTTGATTTTTTGATCCATTCGGACTGGAAAAAAGGATGCTCTCTGCGGCGCATGAAAACAAGAGTTGTTGTCAATGCAAGTGAGTTAAATCCACTTTTTTCTGAAAAACTGGAGAAGCTGCTTGAGGTCAAAGTTTGAGAAGCAGACCAACACTTCAGTTTCCGTCTAAACTTTACTAGAAATATTAAATAAGGCCATCGTTGCTGTGCGGAATCAGCACAGTAAGCGATCGACATCTCGGAGCCGAATGATGACCGATAATTTGGGATATTTTTGCCTTTTTTGAATTGCAAATTCAGCGCCAGACTGCTCGCATTGATACCGGTATGTCCAGCTTCCGAAGTGCAAAATCCATGGCCAGTTATAGGAAGAAAAAGTTTTGTTTTCATACCACGTTTGCGTTTAACTGGTGCTTAGCTCAGATGAACTTTTTTTTTGCAGGCAGAGTGGACAGTGTAAATATGCATGAAACTGGCATTCATCGACTCGGCCACACACAAGTTTGTCGAAACTGTTGCAAAACTGCTATATGACTAATGACTTCCTCATGAGAAAATAACTCGCTTTTTTATGTATAATCCTGGGTATAAAAGCAGCGGGGAAGGTGTTTTTAGCAAGTTTTTGAGCAAAAAACTTTTCGAAAATTTTTCAGAATGAAAAAAAGAAAGTAATTACATAACAGCTTTCTTCTTTCACTGCATTTCTTGCCCCGCCTTGCTCCCTTCCAGAAAAACCGTGTTTGTATGGCTGGCCCAACAAAAATGAAGTTCAAATATGATTTGCAGGTGCGAGTTCCGTGCCACCGAGCTCATTTCTACCACATGCGGCATTCATTCCGAGAACCTGAAGTAGCTCAGAGTTTGAATATGTTCAATTTGCTTCGATTGATCAATTCGTTTGTACTACATCACAGGCTTCTTTTAAGTCAATTGCATGGAAAAGCGACACAGTAATATCTGTTTCCAGGAATTTTCAAGAACGACTTAAAACAACACTTAACGCGATATCGGAGCTGAGCCTGAACAACTCGATTACCGAGACTCTGAATGATTTCGATAGATGCGTCAAAGAAGTCAACAAAGAACATTTCACGCTAAAGGTGTCACGTTGCATGACACCGCACGCTTGCAATCTGAAATTGTCCAGGTTAGCCCTTGCAGCTGTAGGAGTATTTTTCTTTCCTAGAATCGGGAATTTCGAGCAATTTTTCTGAAAATTTACAAAAATACACCTTTGGTTCATCAAATAAAAATAAAACAATCAGTAATCATAGTATTACAAGGCATATGAATTAAAGTGTTACCAGTCGCTAGGTTTCGAGGAAAAATTCATTAGTCTTTTTCTTATATGATGGCACCTTCAAAATTTCTATCTCCTCGCCACGCTATTTTCCTTACTATCTCTTGAATTCTGTTACGCGTTAGCAATGGTCATTTTCCAATTCGTTTAGTACGCACTAACTGGATCAAAACATCAAACTGAGACTATGTGATTAACTGTTTTGGCGGGCATTCGCTGCCCAGCTATAAAAAATCGTCGAAAGAAAGTACATTAAGTTGTGCCAGAAGCTCTTGCCGTTCCCCTTGCTTATAATGAATCAAAATTTTCACATGAACGCTACGCATTTTCGGATATTTTGAAAATAAACCGAAGCCAAACTGGAGTCTGAAGCAGCTCTCTTGAAGGCGTAGACCACAAATGCATAGTGATAAGAGTTCTTTATAAAGTCCTGTCTGACAAGTATTTGTTGGTAAGCTGTTTTAAACATGAAATCAGTCTGGGATCATTTTGTTTTTGCTTTGAATGCTCTGTTCTTGACTTTCTTTTCTACAATTTCGAGGTTAAAAAGAAAAGAAGGAATGAAAATTTAGCGGTAATCTTTTATTTTATGCTAGCACACAAGTTTAAATTCGGCTTCATTAGCTCATTCGCATTTCGACTTCAGACAGTTTCATGTAGGTTGTGTCTAATCAATCGGATTTGTAAATGCAAGCGCAAATTTGGGATATATTTAAGAATTTAGTGTAGCCCGAGATTCACTGTATCCAGAAGATTGGCATTAAAGTCTTGATCCACTGGAAAATTGAAGTCTGTTTTCCCAAAATTTCAGCTTCCTTGCTTTTCTGATCACAAGGTTAAAAACGCATGCCAGATATGTGACCACATATTTGCACAGGAAAGATCATCCTTTGTTAATTTGTGTGTTTTTAGTTAAAACTAAATTGACTGTGATGGAAAAAGCTATTTCAGCGATGTTGCTTGCACTGCGTCGACTGGAAACTATGAGTTTGTTTATGCTTCCGGCGATTTCCTTCTCGGACTAATGGGTGCGCAATTTGTGAAGAGCAACGCTAACTGCGATGCGCCCATTTCAGCAATTCTCAAAGGCGATCATTTCTATGCGCCATGATTTCAGTTCTTCGTTTTCTGAACACTTCTGATGCCGATGATAGCCTGGTTTTCTCCAGCACCGCTAAGATAAAACACTGTACACGTTCTTAATGCATTCTTAACGTAGTTCGATAACATATCAAAACCAAGATCGCCTAGAGAACTGATATCGAAATTTCGAAAAACGTGGTACTATTAATACTAGGATATTCTGACATATCATATACAGAAACATCAGTCACTTTGGATCTGAGATGTACACACTGAGTTAGTACCCACCACATATTCAAAGTGTGTGTCATTATTTTTGCATATGTGCAAATGCAGGAACGCGTATCATGCGAACCATGATGTATGTGTGTGTGTGTATTTGTGTGAGTGTGCGTGTGTGCTCTGTCCGCTTATTTCAACTCGGCAATCGAGCAATCTACGGCGCTGAAATTTTGCCACTGCGTTTTCCGGCCAATTGCCACCCCAGGATGCTGGCTGGCTCTCATGCGCATCTGGGCCCCGCGAACGAGCGCGTGAAAATTTTGGCGAGATAATAGCTGAATTGGGGATCAGAAAAGCCAGAAAGCTGAAACTTTGAGGGGATGTTCCCCGTCCACACAGAACTCAAAGGTTTCAAAATCAGCCTCCAGGCACGCATGGTTCTTACATACGGCATCGCAAGAATTTTTGGTGGAAAAATTTTGAGGGGATGTTCCCTGACCATGTACCACGTAATTACACGATTAACTTCTTGAACTTCGAGCACCAGTATGCCACAAATTCTAGCTCTAAGGAGTCCATGCAATCTTACTATAGCACGAAACACTGCTAAAACGCACGGCCAGCCCGGCGTGCGTCGCCAGTGATTTTTAAATAGCAATGAACACTAGACCGCCAGTATGGCCAGGCATTTCACCCAGTTCTGTTCTGCAGACATTTACTGTTGAGAACCTTTACTGCTTTATACTTTACCGTGTGCAAAATTAGTCGGTATGCTGTTTGTTTTCTAAGCTGTGAAATTTCCTATAAAAAATTTCACTTATCTATACGTTAAACATGGGCGTACTTGCGGATTGCATTTAAGTTTATGGGATTGCACATGAAGTTTAGTTATAATGTTTACATCTGTATAAATGTCTTCAAGTGTAAAACTAGCTTCTGCTTTTGCATGTGCTGCCACACACGGATGCGTAACTTGTTTCGACTGGAGCACTTTTTACATTCTTTTCTCTCGGTGGTCAAATATTGAAGAAAGCAAAAGCTTTACGGGACCATCGCCTTATCTTGTGCGTTACTGAACGTGTAAATTCAGCTTTTATGGACGCCCAATTTTCACTTATGGATACGACAAATTTGAGGGTACGTCTTTCCAACAACAAGTTCATGTAAAATTCACGGTATTCATACATATTGAGATCAAAATTTCACAAAGCTCCATGATGCAACATTTTCATCCCAGTTGATGCCCTTTTTATGCGTTTTTGCATATATGTAAATTGCAAAAAAGCATATTGGGAGGAGGCTGTGTGTGTGTGTCTGTGTGTGTGTCTGTGTGTTTGCACTTCAGATCCAGAAAAGCTAGAAGGCTGAAACATTGGGGATATGTGTCTATACCACGCGCGACCCTCCCGCTTTAATTTCATCCCCAGCGGGCGCCTAAGCGCGTTTACAAATCCAAGCAGCGCGTTTACAAATGCAAGTACGACAAAATATCGTCGGATCAACATACAATAACCAATAAACATATCATGAACAACAAATTAAACCTCTCCCCCCCCCCCC